TTATCGGTAATGGGCAAATCTTTTCCATTATATCGCCTATCAGTATTACTAATGTTATATTTTCATCCTAAGTTAGAGTTGAGTTAGGTAGAATTTTAGTGGGTATTGTCATAATTATATTGTCCGAGATGTACACAACCTGTGTAAATGCACTTCTCTGGTAATAAAAATGGTTAGGTTAGATTAGGTTAGCATATGCACGCTGTTCAGCCATATTACAAGCGATCAAACGTTATCTCCATTATTAATTATAAATAACTCGATACGTATCCTTAATAATTTAAGCTTCAACGTGTCCCCTCTTTACCGAATGAGCTAAACAATAGTAGAAACGTTCGAAATCAATGAAGGATGACAAACAGCCATCCTATCTATCCCCGTCACCCTCGTCATACATTATCCCGTGCCGATGCGATGGCAACGACTGCTAATAATCAGCTCGCCCAGCATCCAGCTTCCTGTCACCTTGCAAGCAGAGGCAACCGGTGACACGTTAATAGATCGATGCGCCGTGGGGGTGGCGTGAATAGGGATCTGCGTCGGTAATTATCAAAGAGAGAGAGAGAGAGAGAGTAGAGGGGATTGCTTCGGGTCCCTGGCAAGAGATATTCGAGTAGCCTCTGATAGAAACACAGCAGGGGAGGAATAGGACCAGCGAGCAACGGCATAGGTCTCGGGCAACAGCGTGTACACCGACGATGTATATCCTTAATTGGATCAAACGACCGACTATCTTCGGCTCGATACGTCAAGCAGAGATTCCGTTACGAGTAATCACAGATACAGAAGGTATACAGGAAAATCAGCAACGAGGCATGCCCATTATTCGCGGCCAACGAAGCTGCCAATTTCCCGGTTGTTCTATTCGTGATTCGATGATGACGTTCGGCCAAATTATTTCCTGCGGATCACGTCGACCATGCAGGTTCCTGGGTTAACGATCCTGGACCTAACCCCTCCTTTCGTGGTATTGCGGGATAGTTGCGAGTGGAAATTATGCCATTCCCGATTGAGACAAAGAGGGTGGGAAATGAGCTCGCTGACGTTCCTGCTTACCACTCCATTCGCCGTTCTGATTGATCCTGACAAATGAAATTTAATAATAAAAATAAAGGGAAAATTCGATTTTCCCATCTCTGGTTCGAACGTCGACATTGTTTATGTCACGAATACCAATTGCTTTGTCGGATAGATCGTTAAAGGTATTCAGAATGAAATGAACGTTTCCATGGATTGTTCATAGCTCTCAAATTGGCAATTTTTCGACAAACGCGTTGCCCATAGATAGACGAGAGCGAATTGAATTGTTTCTCGTGGCCGCGTTAAACGACGGTAATTGGTCTCCAAAGCGTGTCATTTGAAATTGGTTTCGTCAGTATCTCGTCAACATTCTCCGATTAATACACACGTTCTAATTGACGCTTCGTTTGGCCAGGCAAGCGTGGATACAAATGAAACCTTCAAATAAAAGAACTCGACGAATAGTGATCCCTGCTCGTTACTGATTAGAAACAAAAAACACAGTGAAACAAAAATTCACGGATGAGTGACTTCTGTCAAAACAATTAGTTGAAAAAGCAACTGTTCTAACGGTATTTCGATACTTTTATTTAACCATTCGACTACCCTCGAGCTATGCATATTATACGAAACAGCACGCGTGGTGCAGATTTAACCTCGACTTAAGGGGGATGCGCGGAGAGGGTTAGAGCGTTGCTCCATCTGCGATTCCGAGCGGAGAAATTGTTGCCGAAGCGAAAGCTCCGTAATCAGATTTGCACGAGGAAGGAAATTTGTTTCGGTGATGTATGACGTAAAAGCGGAATCATCAGAGTTGGAGGACAAGCTAACTAAAACAGAGAAAAGGGGTGGATCTCATCGGCATGCTTGGATAAAAAGCAACTTCTCACACACGTATGAGGATAATGCAGTTTTATGAGCTCGCTGCGGTTCTTATGATAAAGCACGGATAAAGGTGATAAATGCTTTCTTTTTTATTAGTCCACCGACGCGCTGAGGTGGCTAGGATGATACACTTCCGGATCGTGAAACGGATATTTATCGCACTTATTGAATTGTTAGGAAGTCCTTTAAGTATGTGATGAATTAATAGGGGTGGCTTGGGTCATTCTATAGATTCTTTTTTTAATTGAAACTTACGTACCAAAATCGGATATGGTAATGATCAAAGGTTAGAGGTATGCAAATACCTGAAAATTCAAATCGAGAATTCTTTTGGGAGATTCGGGTACCCGAATATCTATCCAAGATAAACTTGACACGATTATCCCCCTTTAATAGTAAGCGTAATTTAAATGAAAAGCGCCCAAGGATCAGACAATAAACGTTCTGAAATCTTTTCTGACGAAAGAGGATCGTACATTTTTCATCGAAAATTGGAAGCTTCCTTTTTTCGTTCTCCTCTATAATTCACTCGGCTCCTCGTTCCCCACGGCTGATTACGGTGCAATTTAATTTCCAATTTATATTCATTTAGCATGCATAAAGTAACATCCGACTTTATCACACGGTTGGCTAGTCCCGGTCCACCGTAAGGAAAACATTCGACGGTTTTGCTCGTTTTTAGGAGAATGAACAGCGCGAAAGACAGAGAGAGGGGTACTGTTACAGTGAAAATGCACTAATTGAAATTAGTACACCGGGCAATATTTGAACAGCTTCCAAGTCGTAGACGAAGCAACGCGAAGAAGAAGAAATTGGATGGAGGGATGGACGGTAGAGTCGCTGATGGACCGACGAAAAAGGATGATGCTATTAGGCTAATTAAGGTGCCTTAAGATTTTAACGAGTTCACTTACCTCGGCTCGGACGGAACTTCGAAATAGTCGCGTGTGGCGTGTAAACTTTACCGGAAGTGAATTGTCCTCTGCCTGCAGGAAATTTGACTGAGCATCCAATCCCCTTGAAAGTTTCGAAAGCATTTCGGGTGATTACCATAGCCGGTGGAAAATATTTATCGGGGATGATGATTATTTTAATATCAGACTTAAAGCTCTGATTCTTTTCCGAGGCAGAAACATTCATTTATCACTTTTGCAAATCGTCGATGGAAGGAAGAGGCATTAGGATTCGCGCGAAAGAAACGACAAGAGTAGAAAGAGAAATAGAGTGAAGAGTTCCCATTTTGTAGGCGACTGAGTGGCAGACGAAAGAAAGAGAGGATAAAAGACGATGGAAAAGACGGACAGAGAAGTATATACAGTCGGGCAGGGACTTTTCACTTTTGATTTATCACGCCAACTTTTATTTCTCCCGGGAGATATTAAAACCCGTTGTCCCGGCCATTTAACTTCGCCTAGCTGATTGATGATTGGACCGACTAAACGCCTTCAGTTTCTTTCGATGCATTGATTAATGCAAGAACAAGGACACCTCGCTTTATATTTCCACGAAAATTTCATGCAATTTTCTCGAGCCCTCAAATAAGGGCGTACCTTCGTTATACCTTCTTTTTAATCCACCATTACTTCCAGCGGAGAAAATTAAAGCAATTCGTCATAAAAATGAACGCCAGATTTCGGTGTCGACGAATTAAGCTAAAATAAGAAATGTCCGAGAATAAAGTGTCGTTTCTTTTCTTCTGGAACGACTACTTGTATGTATTTCCCTTTTCAGTTAAATTTTATTCTTAAGCACACAAAATTATTGCTTTTTTAAAATATGTTCTAATAATATCGGACGAGAAAAATTTAAAAATACAATGTATTTTAAATAAAATAAAATGTATTCCTGATTTATTCTCGTCGAATACTATCAGAATACATAAGCGAAGTCAATAATTTTGTGTCCCGAAAAGTAAAGTTCAACCCCTTTCTGTCCATTTAAATTAAATGGCAAACATCGTATAAATGCTCTGAATCATCGATTCTTCATTGTACTTTATATGTCAGATAAATAATAAACTAATGCCTTTTAGAGATCAATACTCGGGACAGTTTCTGATGAAAATTAATTGAAACCAGAGAAGGAATAATTTCTGAAGAGAAGGAAGAATTAAAATAATTTCTGTTAGCATTAGAAAAATAAATAGGGGAAAATTCGTGAAGGAGACGAGCAGGGAAGTAATTTAAAGCTGATTCTATGGCAAAGGCAGCAACCACGTATTTGCATTATGTCCAAGCGCGTAAACACGTCTGCCAAGAAGCATACTTTGTCATCCCATCCTATTTACTTTGGGTAGCGTAGAAATATCTCTTGGAGCAGTGGCATGCAGCTTCTACACACACGGCAATCGCTCAGACTTTCCTGACAAATAACGATGACTTTTTCGTGGCGAACCTGACACCAGTTACTCGTTTCTGTCTGGCAAAGAATTTTGAGTAATTTACTTGAATTATTGATTACATGTCACGTGTAACAAACTAATTTCAAACGTTCTAGTAAACTCAGTACTCAAAGGGTTAATCAAATTCGTTACAAACCAAGTTTTAGTTAGGCAATTATTCTGATTATGTATAGAATACCTAAGTGTGGAGAATATAGTTAATTGGAAATAAATAAAATAGAATGCGTTGCAATTTAAAATCATTACAAGGATATCAGAAATAATTACTCAACAGTACTCGAAGTGTCAAAAGAGATAGATAACGTGTAAAATAAGGAATTGAAATACCAAAGGTGACTATAATTAATTGTAAATAAGAAATAAAATATGTTCTAATCTCCACTCATCAAAACCGTTTGACTAGAAGGATATTAGAAATAATTATTCAACAATATTCAACGGGTCGAAAGGGGTAGGTGGCGTGTAAAATATGATGTTGGAGTTTGGCCGGCCTGGCCGACGCCACGATGGCTAATACGTTTGAGAACGAAGTTAGTAACAGGTGGCGCGATCCATAACTGGTCCCTGCAGCTTCCTAACCCCCCGGCTACCCTTCCTTCTTGGCGAAAGTCGCGTCGTTGCTAACGGGCCACGCGCCTACGATGCAAGGGAAGAAAGTTTAATTAAAAATAAAAACTTGTTTCTTTCGTTGCAGAGTCCACGCCGCCGAGCACCAGCCCCAGTCCGTCCACCACCGAAATGCCGAAGAAAGGTAAGCCCGTAAACCTCCGTGAATCAAGAAGAAACCCTTTCGTTTAAAAATTATATACATTTAATGTTAAGAGTTAATTTGGTAAAACGAGAAACGTTGCTTTTTATCAGTTTTCGAATAATCGCGTGAAAACGTGCTTCGCGCGACGGGAAACTGTGAAATCACAGTCGAATTTCATTCGCGCATTTACCCCCTGCACTTTCCACGGGAATCTCGAAAGCAGCTTAACATCTGTCGGTTCCATTAAGGAAAGTAATTTACTCGGTCGACCGCCAGTCGAATGGCCGCGATTTATTATTTACACGAAAAGCCTTGCGAACCGTCAACGGCCTGTTAAAAAGCAACGATGTTAGCAGGAGAACTTTTTTGGAAATTTATTTCTCCTAGAATCTCCCCCGGAAGTGACTGCTATAAAATGCCATTTTCTCCACAGATTGGGAGCTGATAGCCGAAATGAATAACTCCGTTTACGGGAATCCGAGCTCGCTCACGATTCACAACGAGAAAGGCATGAAATCAGGTGAGTTTAACGCTGTATTTCGTTTTCACAGAAATAAAAATTAATTAAAACACCTTTGAGATAAAGGTACATAGCGGGGACTACATTAATATTTTCCTTTTTCAATTGTTCGTGAAACTCTCAAGAAAAAGAAAGTGTGACAAAGGAAAAGTAGGATTAGTAGATCAGCAGCATGGAAATTTCGTACAAGACTTTGCGAAGAGCAAATGCGAATGACAAAAACGTTCTTTCTGTAAAAGTCTACCGGTGAAACGTATTCTCTTCAATCTTGATCTTTTTTCGAAGAACGCATCGATCACTCAGACATATCTCGTGGGAAAGTCGGGAAAAGTAGAAAGGGGTGTAGCCAGGCGGAAATGCAACAAAAATGTAATAACGTGATAAAGTTGGCTACGAAATAAGGAGAAATCTAGCTTATAGCGTATTCGAGTCGAATTGTTCTTCCGAATTATTTAAAAATTAACGCCACGAATTGAATTCGAACTAATTACATAAAATAACAAGTTAACCATCTAGGAAATATCACGTACCTTAACTGAATTAATTATCGTACAATTTGCATATTTCGTTTATTCATTTCAACACCTCGTGAACGAGAATTTCAAGCCGTTTACCTATTATTCTATTAACTGGAATCTACAGAATCGTTGCGAAAAGTATTTCATCAACCAGCAGAAAATTAAAAACCTCCTTTCAATTCAAAATTCCAGACTTCTGATTACATGAACCATTTAAAACCGAAGGGATGAAAGTGAGACTTTTAAAAATTTGTTAATTAACAACAGAAATGGTTAGTTAATATTACAAATAAAAAGAAAAAATTCCACTTGGGTCTCTATAATAATGCAAAACAATGACAACAATTAGCAGAACTTAAAAAGAAAAAAAAGCTAAATTGCTCTTAAAACGATCAAGAGGGGTACGAAACAAAGGCGTTCAAAAGCCATAAGAATCGTCTAAAGAGCAAACTTCTGAAGAAAAAAGAAACAAGAACAATGGAGGACAAAGTACAAGTGAATGTTCGTATACGTGTAAAATCTAAAAGGCTAAAGTGGGGGCGGCGATGGTTCGCGACGAAAGGATCGAGGGGCGGAGGGTGGGCTCCCAGTAACATCAATATTTCATGTATGCTAACACGCCAGAACTAATAATGCTCCAGCAAGGAAGACCCAAGAATAATATCAGCCACCGGCGTACTCCGTGTTCTCCTCTTCCACCCCCATACTTCTATCCTTCCTCTCCCTTCTTCATCGAGGCGAGTCCTTTTTTTTCTCCAAGAAAAAAAAGGAAGAAAGTAAAAATTACCCTTACACCCTCTCTAGTGATCGCTGTTTAATTAAAAGCGTGTAGTGTAAGTCAAGTTTGACCCGGGGAAATATTACCCGCGACTCAATTGAACGACAAGAAAGGGGAAAAAAGAAAGATTGAGAAGAGCAAACAAAGAGCAGAAGAGAGGAGGGTAGCAAACATTAATGCCACCCCGCAGACCGCAGATGTTGCGCCAATTACAAGCCTTACCCCCGTCCCTCTCGTTGTCCGGCGTCTTCGTCGCTCTTTAACCCGGCAACTTCGAGCAAGCCCCTTTCCACAATCCCAGAAAAGGAGAAACAAGGCGTGTTCCGACTTACGAGCCTGATGTCGGATACCTTCCTGCCTGCAGCTCTTTGTCTTCTCGACGACAACGACCGCGGAACTGTACGGAGCTTAGGTACAACCCCCGGGGCTGTAGGAACGGACGATGAAGGGATGGAAGGGGTTGCCTTCCTTCAACGAGACACGAATTTTCGAAAAGGCTCTCGCACTTTGTTAGATTAAATTTAAGGACGAAAGGGCTCCCATAGGGAAGCTTCGGAGACCATCAAAGCTTTCCTGAAGATTCGTGACAAATAATCATGCATCATTCAGATGACAGTAACGTAAAATAAATCAACCGTGGACGATTTATTAAAACTGCAATTTTCCTTCTGCGAACAAGAAGCAGAAAGTTTTTATGAAAGGGTCGTACGGTTCCACGTTCCTATAGAAGATTTATCGGAGGTTGTTTCTCATTACGATGGCCGCGGTAAATAAGGGTGCAATTAACGATTGTTTGAAAGCCAGTCGTATTGTTCGCGCATTAATCAACAGTTCGTTGGATATTAACAAAATTATACACCGCCGCATTAATTACCCTCTCGTAAACGTTTATCGGCGCCGATGATTGTTTAATCGAATAATTCGTCGAATGAAAGCTCAATTAACTACAGCTTTGCTACGTTCGCTATTCGTAATACAATCAGCTGATGATTATTCTTCATTTCAAATAGGAATAGATTTTAAAGCAAAATTTGTTTATTCAATAAATGGAGTCACAGAGAAATTGTAAATGACAGATGGAGTAGGGTTTCGATATCGCGACATCTTGGAGGCCACATACAGCCTTAGGTGTCCCTTAATTCCCTATGGAACCGTTGTTCTCCTGTAATTCTGCGGCAGAACGTACAGAGATTGGCTTAGTCGCATGCTTGCATACAGATGAAGCGACTACTATCCTATCGTAAGCGTACACATACGATGGGTTAGCGGGAAGCCGAGAAGGGAACGCGGTTGAAATGTCTCGAATGCATCAACGACATCAACACCGAGCTGATTAAATCTCCGGTAGGAAATGATCGTTGCGGTGCTCATTCCATCGTGCCTCCATCGGTTGCGAAAATCGACTTGAAAAGTCCGATCATCGTAGTTAATTTCAACAATTTCCTCCAAATTAATCTTTTAAATGGGAAGTTAATTTATCAAAAGCATCTTTTGTCCACGCCGTCATAATATATTATGACGAGTTAATTCGTCATACGCGCTGGAGAGACATTTTCCAATGACGAGTTAACTCGTCATCCCTAGTTAAAAGGTTAAAACGAATCATTTCAACCTTAGAAACTTGATTGCTACGTGTATTTAAAAAGAAATCATTATTGTTAATTTAATGAATGACAACCTAGTTCCGTCGACGCTGTCCGTTATCTTCGATCGGCTGGATTTCCAGAATGGTTGATATCTAGATTGACTTAACCGCGCGTATACGCACTGTCAACATGTTCTACATACTATTGTGCACGTATGCGCGTGCTGGCAGGCTTAATATTCGCTAAATGGGACCTGGGAGGCCGGATCGAACCGGGTCAATTCTGCCACGGAATCGATCATAATGAACGCAGCAAAATCACGTGTCCGAAATGTACGTACACCGAATCACTGCCGCAGGCATTTGCAGCGTTTGCATTCACCAACGAACAGATATTTCGTTTTGAAAGAATTAATTTTGTACTTACCGCGAGGCTGGCAGTCTACCCTAAATGATATGTTTATGTAACACTTAACGCACCCTCGACACATGAAAACGCGTCATAAATATTAGCAGACCTCTGTGTTCTAATTTGCAATCTTGGAAATTCGTTGCATTTCAAATTTGACGCGTTACCACTGACGAACGAGCTGCTTTGCAAGGCAGAATGAATGGAAATGAAAGTGTAAAGCTGTCCGCTAATGATCCTGGTAAATGTGCAGCTGCCTCGCCGTACGAATAATATCAACGGCGAGTTCTATTTTAATCGACACCTTTACATCGAGGCTTTTCAAAATGTTGCACCTTTCGGGTCAACAAGAGGAGTTCGATTACTCGAAAAGCTGTGTTCTCGCGAATTTTGGTTTTTAATCTTGGAATTGAGGCGATTATGAAATTAGATTCCTTTATCCTAACACGGTTCGTGGCAAAGGTGCGAGTGTAAAATTTCTGATGGATTAATCTGTCTTCGTAATAGCTCTTCTGACAGGGACAAAGTGATCAAATTTGCATAGAATCGTTGCAAGAAAATGCCATGTAAATTGAACCCTTTAACTGAGCTGTATTTTAGCACGGATGAGTTGCTCTCTTTTAAGATAAACCGTCGTAATTGCTTTTAATTAAAACATCATAAGAGTGTTCGGACGTTCGAGTATCTATAGAAAGCAATGTTCGAAACTTGTCCGGGAAATCATGCTCCTCGAAACAATATCGATAAACCCTGTCAGTAGCGGGAAGCGGGACTTAATTCTGAGCTTCAGCTTTGGCGCAAGCTTCACTCGAACACGCTGCTTTGTTTTGGTGAGCTGCTGATTAGATTTCGTAAGTTGGCCCTGGCCCGAAGGTAGAAGAGCAGGAAAGGAGGATGCCGACGAGGAAACACGGTCTTGGCACAATAGCCTATTTCAGCAAGGTAATGGCCGATCATCCTAGTACACACGGCTTCGCCGCGAGTCACTTGTTCGCTGCTGTGTATAATAGGGGCCCCGGTATAGACGTTGGACTAACTAACCGATCGTATACACGTCCATCGACAACAAGGTGAGACACACCGTTGTACGGAGAAATGGATAGGCCAGACAGACGTATGCAAATTTCGAACAAACATTAGCGGTGACAGTGCATCCGACATAGTATCCCATATAACATGGAAATTTCATGACAGAAAAGTATCTCAAAATGACACTTATCCTACATCAAAATGAAGCATTCAGCGTGAGAAAGGTTTCCATATGGACGCATATTTACTATTCTTAACACAAAATGGCTAGTGGAGCTAATTATAGTAAACAATGACCAAATTGAAAAAGTGTAAGTTTTAATGTAATTTTATGACAGAAAAGTGTCTGAAACTGGCACCTATGATACAGCAATTTAAAGCTTAAATCTCAAAGAAGATACCTATGTAAATGCATCTTTAATATTCTTAATACAAAATGGCTAGTTGCCAGTTATATTTAACAGTGATCAACTTTGTAACATCAAAATTCTGATAGCATTTACGACGTATTAATTTAAAGCTTAAACTTCGAAGAAAATGACCATATCAATATTCTTAATACACAAAGGACGTTTGGCAGTCGTCGAAGAGCAAAAAATGGTTAACGAGAAAAGCAGAGATCCGTGAACGGATTCTGTTGACGTTCTCGGCGAACGAGCCTCTTCCTGAGCGAAATTCGATTCCCTCCTCGTGGCGTGATGTATGCAAATGGATCCAACGTGGTAACTACAAAATTCCTAGTCCAGCTGGCCGAGGTTACACACACGTATATCAGGATTAAACCGTGGAAAAAGCTTGCCAGAATCCCATGAACTGGAGGCATCCTCCAGGTAGCTAGAGATAGTTTCATTACATGATTTGGTCCGGCAGACTGGACGGTGACAAACGTGGCAACATGGAAGGCTCCTTCCGCGATGCACTGGATAAGGGAATTGTGTTTACTCGTAGTTTGCATACTAGTTACCGCGTTTGCCACCCACTTTACGCGTAACAGGCCCGTAAACATCTTCAGAGGAGGACCACTCGTCGTACGTCCCCTTTGTCCCGGTTTCCTTTGCACCTCCGGCCACTTCCTTTCATTCTTTAACTCAACGCTTCCCACCTCTTCCCATCCCCTATTGTCTCAGTGGCCTTTGTGCCGTTTGTCCATTCATTCTTACCCAGGAAACCAAAATGGAATTAAATCGCGACATTCGCGATGTTTATTATCATTATTGATTCTAGGGCGTTAATGCAATACTGTTTTGCAAATTCAAAGGGAACGCGTACAAATCCGGAAACGCTTTTCCATTTGTCACATTTTCTGGGTAATCCGATTTCAACGATGGATAACGTTTCGATTCGATTTTCAAACGTGTTACAAACATCCATCATTACCACTATAAAATCCTTGAAACGTTAAACCTGTGTTTAAATTTCTGCTTCCAGGTAATAAATTTCAGTCGAACCTTAGCGAGATCGGGAAGTCCGAACAGAAATCGAGCGATCCGGATAGGAAGAGGAATTACAATTGGACTCCAGACAGCGGTGAGCTCAGCTACGTGTCACCATAAGTTAATTCTTTCCTTTTATTATTTTCTATGCTCGACTGTCAATCTTTAGTTAAATTTAACACGTTGAGTGCCACAGTGAAAACGGTCATTTATTGAAGCTCTGTTTATTAAAAATAAGAATATTTCAGCAGTTTTTAACCTTTCCATAAATACGTTCAAGAATTCCAGAATCATCAAGAAAAGTAACAATTCAAAAGAAATTATACACTTAATTATATTGCTGTCATATTTATTTTCTGTTTCTAACAATAAGAGAAAATAATTTTATCGATATTGATATTAAAAATAATTTAGAAGCAAAATAATACAATTTTTAATTATTACATATCGTAAAATTTAGTATATAATTGAGAAATGTAAATAATAAATAAATAGCAGTGCTAATTCTCTCGCGCATACGTCGACGCGCAAGTGGTGAGGAGGCACAGATCTGTACGTAAACGGGGCCTTCTCCCCACGTCATTCTCCTCGAGGAAGGCCTACAATGAGGGCCTGGAACTCGGGTAAAAGGTCATAGAAAAACATACCGTGCTCGACACTGTAAGATTATCAAACAATATTGAAATTATTATATTCTTATATCGCATAAGCCAACCGCATACTACTAGTTAGAAACCGCTGAATATTTATTTTTCAAACTTCCTATTTGCTATTTTACATCAATAATATTTTCCTATTTCTCTTTTCTTATCAATTATTTGAGTATATCTAATTTACAATGCCAGTCACCAGTGAGCACTGCGGCATTTAACGTGTTAATTACAATAAAATAAAAAAACTCCCATCCCTCTATCCAGAAATCCTCTGAGCCTCATTAATCGGCTCGTCAGGCAGAGAAAAAATTCATAATAACTTCAGACACCGATATCGGAAGTGACAGTGGTCAGAGTTTGCTGTCAGAGTCCGGGTCCATTGAAAGGAGGCTTGAATAGGGTCGAACGTGGCAAATGAGCAACGAAGGAAACAAAACGTCCATCGAAGTTGCGGTTTATCCGGAATTCCTGCAGTGGCATTTAAATGACAGAGGCTCGAGAAGGGGTCAGGCTTAACACCTTGCAAAATTCCAACAGGCCCGCGGCGTTATCGGAATATTTCTTTCCAGGCTACCTCTTCCATCTTTGTCCGGGTGCCTCTGTATAGACGCGCTTTCTTTTTTTCTCCCCAAAGAAATTTGCATAATGGGAAAGTGTGAAAATCCGTTTTCTCCGAGGGCTCGATCACGATAGTCCCGTGGAAGTAGGTAATTTCGTTGGAGGAGAGAAAGAAAAAGAAAAGTGTTGCGAGCTTCCACAACTTGATAAGTACTTCAGGGTCTTTCGTGACTTGAGGAACTTTCTTGAATCGAAGGTCGAACGATTCCACTACGCGAAAATTTTCATGAAAATCAACGAATTTAAACGAATTAACAGGAGCTCCCAATGAAATGGTTAACAGCATGGAAAAACACGGGCGTAAAACGAGAATGGAAAGCGAATACGTTGTATTGGAAATGTACAAAATCAACAGCACCTCGTCGATTTCGAGCCTTTGATGATGATAAAAACATTGTTCTTTGCAATGGCGCAGCCATAATTGTCCAATAGGAGGGGTTACAAAATTTTGTTTGTAAATCCCATTTTTTAAATTTTTCGTTTATTCCTTATGATGTGTAAAATTTTTGAAAATATTCTGAGACCTTTTAGGAAAAAATACCTTCTTTTTGCCACTTCATTATCAAAATAAACAGAGCTTAATTTCTAAAAATTAAATATCATCTCTGAAATTCAACATCCTCCTCCTCCAGATTTCTTTCTCTAAAACATCGATCCATATATCAGTTCCTAATTCAAACCCAAAATCGAATTTGCGAATCGTGCAAATTACTCTTAACAAATTCGTTCCCGTGACACGGCGCGATCGACGAGGAATGGAAAAAACAGCGGAGCGATAGGAAGCGCAAAACCGCGTGGGCAAAAAGTCGACGAAGAAAAACAGTGAGCGTAGAGGTGGAAAGCCGGTGTAAAAATTGACGAACCGAGGAAGCATCCCGGTGGGGATTCGAGAAGGATAAAAAAAAAAGAATAGATAGGAGAGAACATGGCGGTCGCAAGGACCACGATGAAACAAACGAGAAAACGAGAACGAAGAGGAAGAGGATGATTGGAACGAAGGCCTACCGGCTTGTTTCTGATTTGTAATTAGAGATGAGCCACGGCCAGGAACGGTACAGGCGGAATACATCTCTCGCGAAGCGAGTAATAACTGAAAAGTATGGGCCAGTCCATCCGGAAGAACAACTCTCTTCCCATTCTCCTCATCGTCTGTCCTTTACTTTTTTTTTCCTTGTGCCAATCCTTCCGTCTCGGCAGAAGGATCCCTCGTCTTCCGGCTGAATTTTCTGGAGAACTTCTTGACTCCGCGTCAACCCTTTCGGGCCAACTCTTGCGAGTTTTACGGCCCAGAATTATCCTACTTTCATAATATAAATATGACTTTTAACTTTCATTTCTCTATTTATTTTTCAGATTCAGCAGCGAGCATCACGACCACAGGAATGCTTCTAATGATCGTTCTGATAGTTACATCCGTCATTCGATAAATGGACGCCTTCTAATTGATCATCTGTAATTATTGACTCGATTTATAGGGAAAATGACTAGACACGAATACACAGGTACACTTAACACAGACACTATGAAAGATTGACTGAGTAGTTAGCGTGGAAGGGGAATAAATAATAATAAGGTTAATAATAATTACGCGTGCCAAGTCAGTGTAGCGCAGTGTACAAGACGACGAACGAATAGAAAATGAATTTCTACAGTGTATGCACGAGTTAAATGACCGGAGGATCAGAGGGAGGGTAAATCACAAAGTGCAACGACTATCGCTTTCAGTGTAAAATATTGTATAACGCCGTAATTTCGCCGCAGAAACTGCGCCAGCGGTCTCGAATTTTCCAAGTAATTTTCATTTCGATCCTTCAATTTTCAGGGGACGATAAAAACAGCGATGCAAGCGTGAATTGTGTCTCAGCCATCGATTTCACCTTTCCATTCTTTTTTTCTACGCTCGGACGATTCTTTCACTGTGTTCCTCTTTTTATTCCGTCTGCGAAGACTTCCTTCCACCCTCTTTTCTCCCCCTCGTTCCGTTTCTTATACACGAAATCGCGGATCCCATCTGGGTACTTGAGATTAAAACGTCAGATTCGGTACAGGGAATGCTCTCGCATGAAGGGATGTTCGGGGCACGAATATTATTCGCGAACGTCTACGAATCGACGAGCTCTCGGTTCGGCAAAAAGAAATTAGAATGAATCCTTGGAATATTTCTTTTCGGGAAATGCGCCCTCTTTGTTGGCTCGACAACGAAGTGACGCCTGTGGAAACGAACTTGTAGCTTTCACGAGAGTGCCAATTACACGCGGGAAAGCGTTTTCCCCTTTTGTCGCGACGTAGTTCTCAGAGACCGGATACCCGTGTAAAATCAAGCTCAACCGGAGCTTGCAACACTCTGTTCCCGCTTTTCTCTGTTCCGTGCCACTTTTGTTGCGCTCTTTATCGCATTATTTAGCTGCGAAGGCTCTCGCGCGGGAAACAACCCTGAGGACGGAAAAATAGGATGCTTCTATAAAGATTAATTTCGACATAATGCCACCGTAATTAATGTTACGCTTGCTCTGACCTACTCCGCGAAATTGTTTCAGAATGTATGAAAGGGTTGTTTCAAAAAGAGCGCATAATAAATGCGCCATTCCAAAGGACAGTGGAAACGTTTAGAAATGAAGAAATTTGATTATTTTCGCGACAAGCATCGAATAAAACGATTTTATTGGCCTGTAAAAACATCGAAACGCTTTCACGAATAATTTTGCAGATTTATCGGGGATGCGAAACATCGCTTACCAATTTTCAGTTTCACCTGAACTCCGATCGCTGCTTTTTATTCGGTGTGTGTCAATTTCGATAATTTAAAATGTCTCCTCGCTTTGCCAATGAAACGGGAAAAGAAATATGAAATATTTCAGTACAGGGAGCAATTCTCTGTCGCGCATTAATATCAAATGATTTTCCTATTGATTTTAATCCATCAAGGGTATTAACGTTTCGAATCCCGTGAACGTGAATTGATTGTAATATCCGGGCGAATTAAATAATCGGGGAAAAAGTGTATTTTCAAAGGGAATATTGATGCAAAGCGGAATAACCGAATACCGTCATAAACTTTGCCTCGATTTGTGTCCTGAAAAGTTTATTAAATCCGTTTCGGATTTTGCAGATGATTCCGAGTTTAAAATATTTCCCTTTTAAAAATCATTGGGGATGCGTAGACGGAATCGACAGCACTCTTCATTATCTTGTCACTGCGATTAATTTATTCCCGCGTTAATTAACGGGCTTTGGAATTTATCCGTGAACGCGCAAACACGTTCGCAGTGTGTCGGTTTAAAGCGGACTTCGAACTACTTAGGAATATCCATTATTCAGCGTACAGCTTGTTTAAAGCAACAGGTTCGAGAATCCCGGCACGCGAAGGGGTTAAAGCCCATGATGGATTAAAGAAGGGTAGGATTCCCATGGACTTACTTAATTTTGTCATCGCCACCGACAAACACTGATTTCTGCTCTGAACAACTTTCATCTTTGACGGATTAAAGAAAAAATTATACATGGTTTCTGTTAATCCCCGTATATTCTTTAGAAATACAAGGGTTGGATAGAATAATGAAAACACTTTATACATTATAGTCCAGTAGATTTATAGCATTTATTCTCTATCAAAATAAGACTTAAAATTTGAGAGAAATGATCATATGGACAATTATGATGTTTTTAATATAAAATAGTTAGTGGCTAATTATAGCAAAGAATGACCAATTTGAAAAGGTGTGTCAATTCTAATACAATTTTATGACAGAAAAGTATCAGTAAATGGCATTTATGGTACATAAAAAATTCTCCTGGGAATAAAAATAATTAAAAAACAAAATGCAACATTTTTTTAAAGCTATTTTACTTAAATATACTGGATTATAAAGTAATTAAAGTTTATTAAATATTTGAATTTATTTATTATATTTTACAGTTATTACACATATAAATGGCATTATTTTTCTTGAGTTTCTTATGGTGTTCCTTTGAAAATAGAGAACGATGGCGCACATCTACCCTATACGAATATCGGCCTGATATAGTAACGTTCAACTCGTCAGCTGGCGGATGTAAATACGAGTAAATAGATTAATTAAGTGTAGAAGAAAAGAGGAGACGAAGTGTTCTCGTGGCACGAAATGAATTCAAAAATGTTTTTGAATTACAAGAACATTTCGTCCTGCTTCGCAATGAATTTAGAATAAGTACGAGGCGTCGAGTTAAAAATGACCTAGGTGGTTGGAATTGATTCATTCCTCTTTAAAACCTTCGTTTCCACCCCCATCATTGAATGAAATAAAAATTTCGCCTATTGAAATTTGTTTCAATTTACTTTTTAATTGTTTAAATTTTTGACAGAGGTCAGAATCAGTTCCAAACATAGGGATCTTAAGCCACGAGCATTTTCCTTTGGTTCATTAATTCCAACGTGTTTTCTACGGCCACTGTAAACAATTGCAAACGATAGACACAGTGACAAGTAAATACCATAGGGAAGGATATTTTGACCTATAGCGTAACGAAATCAAGACGAGTAAACTCGTCTTAGTGGTTAAGTGGTTTTAAGTGGTCGGCCGCATCGTTTCCGCTCGAATCCAAAGTTAATCGGAAGTGGATCTAGACATCTTACAAATTTCCATCTACGCTAAGTACGTCGTTGATTAAGTTAAACATTATAAAATCGACATTTGATATAAAACTAAAAGAATTTCACAAAGTAATCCTCTTGCAACTTTTCTCGAAGAAAACAAAATTATTTGTTGAAAGTGTATTAATTTTTAATTAATTTTCAAGGAAAAACGATGCGAACGAGAGACTTGGGAATAAAACGAATTAAACGCGAAGGTATATATGTATACATAACACAGAATATAAATATATAAATATATAAATATACGAATTAAGAGGGACTATTGAATAATGATATATCATATATATATATATATATTGTATGTTACATGATATATTATTATAATATTATTATGCTTTGCGCCGTTGAGTTGAATGTTGTTATTTACATGAGAAAACAAATGAGAGAGAGATTCTTATGGATACACTCGACATATGTAATAAAATTATGGGCAAAGTAACTTGCTCAGTAAAAGAAAGATCATTCTGTTTATTTGTCGACAATTATTTGATACGACATCCCTGGTGGAATCATCCTACGAATCCCAATGAGATTCGGCACGAATATTTACATGGTAGGTATTATTATTTCTACATATGCATGCGTTAATTCCACATGGAATCAATTGTTTTCGATTAAGCCTGTGTTTTATTTATCAAGTGTGTCGTTCGAAATGTTTCGCGATATCAAACGCGTGTATCGCGCGATTAATATGGAATAGAACGTTTCACCGTTTATCGATGGAGTTCGCTGGTTTTAGATTAAATGATTATTACCATTCGAAATCGGGAAAATGTAATCGGGAAAATTTATACGACCAAACGTTCTGATGAATTTCAATAATTTTCTAGGACCGATTACGAAACATGGAAAATCAGTGATTTCATGATAAAAAAGTATTACAAAATAACATGTATGGTACATTAATTTGAAGCTCAAAGCTTCCTGAAAATGATTACATAAAGGCATCATTAATATACTTACGATTAATAAAAACATGACTGATTATGGATTGCAACCCACAGTGATGTTGCATATCGAATATCGAAATTCGAAAAGTGATTATTCGAAGATAATTGCATGACAGAAAAATATCATCAAATATCATTTATGGTACGTCAAATTAAAGCTTAAACCTTAACGGAAATAACCACATACACGTACCGTTAATATTTATACCCATTAGTGAATAAAGATAATTTCATTTTGTACATTAATTGCACTGCCTTAGGCTATCTCATAGTTCCGTTTAATTAGTTAATAGAAACAAAGTAAAAATAAGCTTAGATACATCAAGGCGTATGCAGTTACCGCCATTAAATAAATTAATTAAGCTCGGGAACAGACGAGTTGAACGAAAAGCATATCGAGCAAGAAAGTTCAGAAAACCGTATTCATTTTCGAAATTATTAATTTATAGTACGTCTTTACAAGCAACCCGTATAATCTGTTATATGTATTAATTTTGCGGATGAAAGAGCTTTTATCCGGCAAAGCTTTCAACGTTAATAATTTAATTTCGAATAAATTAATTTCAATAATTCGTCGAAGTCCCATATTATAAATTACTAATAAATTCAAAGGCATTATGATTCTGTTTTCCGAAAGAATCGAAATTATTTCTAAATGAGCCAACCGCGTGATATGTAGGGGTCGTGGGGCACGAGGCTCTATCTAGAATCTTTGGATTAAACGAAGGGGGTTCCGTGTCAACAAACGAACACACGTCTGTTAGGGACCTCAAGATATATCGGCCTTTACACAATATTTCGTGGCTTATTGCCGGTCATGTTGTAACAGCCGCTTCACCAGCCGCATACTAACCGGCGGATTAATTCTCAAAGCCCATGTCACTTTTCTTGGACAGGTTTCGTCGATATAGGATCATTAAGTTCCATCAAGTACTTGTCGATAGAATTTGGCACGTTATTGTAAACGGAACTTCCCATGCAGCAAATTTCAGGGGGCTACAGTCCCAGGTCCCACTTTCTAGGGTATCCCATTAATAAGTCTTCTACTTACTGTCGAAAAATATTAATTAAAATTTTGTTCTACTATTGCCCCTTTTCTTTACGGTTAAATGTTATTTTATGTTATTTAGAATCAATTTCTTTTTGTCATTACTTTTGAACTGTAATAATCCCGGAACTTGGGCGAAGTACGTTTTACTGAGGGTCCTTCTCTCTGCAATATATCCAAATATCAACAATATTGCTATTGAATCTCTTTTTCTATTGTCTT